CCCCACTGGGGAGCACTTCCTGACAGTCCTTAGGGGGAATTAACCGGGAAGTCCCCGCCGGCTTTATTCAAAGCCTGTTGAAATGACTGACAGCCTTCCGGATGAGCTCGGGTCCCTCGGTCTGTGGGAACCTCAGCCTCCCTTGGCACCTCTGCTTATATTACAGGGACGCCGGTTATGCAAATCATTGTTACCTGCTACTCGGCTATTAAGTTCATATTTCTAGAAGTCTGTATGTCTGTTTGTTTGTTTGTTTGGTGGGGGGGGGGGGGAGGGCGGTGTTTTGAAGAGAATTGCTTAAGGCAGGACAACGCTTTGAAGCGATTTCTCCTTGGGTTTTATTTAATGATTTGGGGATTGCAAAGCAGAAATTTCCCAGGGGCACTTAGGAATAACAGTGTCCCTGTGGAGCTGGGCAGGGAAATGCTCCTGCCCAGAGATGTTCTCGGGAAGGACGGAGCCTCGCCGGTGTGCCAGGAGCAGAGGCCTCCGGTGGGTGGCTTCCAAAAGAACATGCCGCTTTCCACTTGTCTTTCTCTCTTTTCTTTCCCCACCTTCATCTCTGATCTGAAGCTACGTAGGTCATCTCTTTCTCTTTGAAGCTGCATTTCTTGATGGTTCAATTGGCTCTTCTGAAAGCAACATCGCATCTGACCAGTACCCGTGCTGCAGGGGGCCAGAAATATTGTTTGTCTCTTCCATCCTGCTTCTATTTTCCCCATCTTTCATTCTTCCATCAGCCAAGCTGGTGTCTTTTTTCTCCTCCACACTCTGACCCACCCCATATGTTTTTCTTTGCTTATTGATGTAAATCCATTCTCTGCCTTCGTAATCTCAATTGGAAGGGAAAAACAACCCTGTTGCTACCACAGTTTGTATAGAAATATCATGTTCTAGTTTCTTCTGTGCCCGGGCTGTGATTTTTTGCCTTGTAATGCTGGACCTCAATAAATAAAGGCACACAGTTTTGTTAGTGCAAGTCGGTCTGAGGCGAGTGGCAAGGCTGCCGTGCTCACTGGATCTGGTAACATACACCAGCATTTTCTTCAGCGGGAAGCACTGTTTCAGGACGTGAAACGTGGTAACTTTAATGCGTTTTTAAACTGTGGGAGGGCTGGGCCGCACCTTCAGACATGAGGTATGGAGGGAAGGATGCTTTCTGCAATCCTACACCTGCCCCCTAGCTGGGTCAGGAATACACGTGGGACCCGGGGGGGTGGATAAAGGAGGTTACAAGCTGCAGCCTCTTTTAGTGCTACACCCGGTGCGTGTGTGCATGTGTCTTCAGGAGGAGGCTCCCCCCCCCCAACCTGCGCGCTCTCCCCGGCAGATGGAGCATCCTCATCGCTTTTCACCAACCGCCGGGGCCGCGGGCAGCCCCGACTCCCTCGGAAGCGTTGATCTTCCCCCCTTTACGCCTCGCAGTGATAAGGCAAACGGGTGTTTCCTGGGGATACACGCACCCCCCGCGTTTGCCCCCGAGGGGGAGCCTGGGCCCAGCCGGGCGCTGCGCGTTGACCCGCTCGCAATATGGCCTCAGCCCCTTCTCCCCGCAGGTGAAAGGGCTCCAGGGCTCGCAGCGGAGAGCCCGACAGCCGTCAGCTGCCACCGCCGGCACCTGCCGCACCCAGCCCTGGCAAGGATCGCGGCGGGGCGGCGGCGGGGAGGTGACAGCACGACTGAGGGGCTGAGCTGCCCGCTCTGCACGCTCCGGCCGGGCTCGCACCCTCCAGCCGCCTCCCCGCCGCCTCCCCGCTCCGCTGCTCAGGGCCGCGAGAGCAGCACGGACGTTTCCCGCCTCTCTGCGGCGCGAGGTGCAGCTGGCGGTGAGGGAGAGCGGCGAAGCGGTGCCCGGCCCCGCTGGGGCTGAAGCAAGCCCTTCACCCTAAGTGCGGGGCTCCTCCCGGGGTAGGTTGGCGGCGACCCTGCGCAGCCCCTGTTCCACTGCGGGACCGCGGGGACGAAGCTGAGCGAGCGGGGCTGTAGCCATGCTCCGGCCCCCTCCGCCTGACGACCCTGGGTGACGGCCTGGACGGCTGTCTTGCCTTTCCTCTCCCTTCCCCTTCCGGCAGCGCCTCAGCCCGTACAGGGACACCACGCCCTGGTCGCTTTCACAGTGCTGATGGCACCCGGGATGCAGAGGGGTCACTTCACAGCCCCAGTCTGTGACACCCCTCCGCCAGGGGGACTCACTCTCCTGCCTTAACACCGCCATTTTGTGGCGCTGCCCCACTGGTATTCCAAAGGATGAGTTTTTCCCCCTACCATTTTGACAAAAATTGGTTTGTTTTTACATTCCAAGAATTTAGGGAATAATTTGCAGCAATATCCTTTTGTTTGATATGTGCCTGAGTGAGTAAAATATGGCAATCCAGAAGATTTTTGATATTCTGAGGGCTTGACATACATGTCAGTAAACACGTTGGTAGCTGGTAATGAAGGCACAGTACATAAGTGAGCTAGTAATGAAGGCACATCGGCAATGCACTTCAAAACGTGTCAGGAACAGCAACTTCATAAATGGAGTGTCCTACAATTACTTTAATTTGGATATAATAAATGGAATTGCTGCCAGTCAGGAAAGGGCTCCAGTGATGTTAGAAACAGTGAAAAAGGCAGCAGTTTTTGAGAAAGAATGGCACGTCTTCCCCTTGAAGGCAGGCTCAAGTCTTGCCACAGGGTTCAAATCTCCTCACTGGGTTCCTAAAAGCGATGTTGCAAAGAGGGGCAGAAGAACATAAGCAATACGATGAGAGGCATTTTTTTAAAAAAGAGAAGTTAGTACAGAAATGTGAACTCTTCTAAAATTCAAGAAGAACCAACCAGTCACTTCAGAGGGTCTTTAAAAGTAGTGAATAGCACACACAAAACATGGCTTGCTCTTGAAAGAGCCCTGCTGGACTTATTTATATAAAGCCAACAGAAATTAATACTGTTGCAAGCTGACAGTGGGTAGAATTGCATGTTTGATTTTTAAGGAAGAAATTTACATAGTAGATTGTGGGTATTTTTCACTGCTGTGTTCCCATTGCTGTACATTACTTATTTCTCTTTAACAAAAATAACAGTTGCATATAGGAACATCCTCTGAATTCATCATCCAGGGTTGGGCAATGATTTGATGATGCTTTTTCTCCAGTAGCACCAAGAATCAGTCTTTATTACAGTCATAATCTGGAAGTCATCAACTGTCCAATATTTAGATGTCTTTTGTTTTAGGCTGGTGTTAACTACTGTTTTAAAAATCTGCAGGCATCCTATGAATCACCAGTGCAATTGAATCTCTCAGCCCTTTCTACTAGTGATGTATGTATCATCATAATTCAAAACATAGAATGACATTTGTCATTTGCTGTTATGTTACTTCATTTTAACAATATCCAATATAGCAGGTATTTTACATATGTCTACTTTTAGAAGCATTGTCATTTTCTGCAACTTTAGCCTTTATATAAATTGTATTGTAAAGATACAGAAAAAAATGAAACACTCTAGTTCTGTTTCTTTCTATCAAAAAACATTCAAAACCTAAAATTAACTGTAACTGTCTTAGTGGCTAGATGATAGAATGATATGTATCTTAATAATATGTGGCTGTATAGTCTGCTCTGTTGGTCAGCTTTGTGCTGTGGTTTATAAACCAATGAGTAGAAATTCTTTGCTGTTTAATGTTTTGTGCTTTTTATTTTGCTTTCATCTGTGTAGCTTCTGTATATGCCACAATATTTTGCAGTTTTAATGGGAACTGTCAGGGAAACAACTAACGAACATCGTTAAACAGTTTCTAGAGACAGATGTTTATGTATGCTCCAAGCTAATTTTTGCATCCAAAGGAATTAGAATTTTCTTTTACATTGTGTAAAAGCAAAAATATTCTGCATTCACCTGGGGCTCGAGGTAGTATTTCTTCATCTTTTTCTTAGTATTTTCAGAAATGAGTGTTTCCAGGCACTAGGAATCCAAGGTTTTAAATACATTTGGTAAAACTATTACCTCTTTCTCAGAGTTTTTATTGCAGCCTATACTAATCCAGTCACTTGGATTGGATGTTCTGATCCTCACTTAACTGGTAGGCAAATTAATTTCTGCCAAACATCCAGCATTTTAAATGCTCCCCCAGCTGCTTCTGTTTTCACAGTCTCAGTGTTACAGCATGTAGCCTTAATGCCACTTTAGTTAAATTCTGCAGTTGTTTTCTGTTTCACTTTATCCCAGATTAGGATCTCATCCTTATGACCAATTTGTTGTGGCTTTACTTCTTACACAGTGCTAAGGGTATGGGGAAGCCATTGTGGCACAATTAAGTACCCGGTAACTTTGCTTAATATTGAGTATATCTGAGCTAGCAAGCTGTATTCAGAACGTTCTGATAAAATGTTGATTGGATCTGTTTTAGAAGACTACATGAATCCCAAACTCTTAAAAACCCCGTAACTGAGTTTTTGCACATAGCAATGCTCTACAAACAGAAGAATGAATTTGTAATAATCTGCTTTCTGTTGTATATGAGTTCTGCCTTTAATCACTTATGCATATACCTTCTTATTTAAATGTATTTTGCAATTGCTACGGGAGGAGTGTACAAAATGGATGAGTAGCTTTTCCATTACCAGCATTGCTGTCTGTATGCTTAGGAAAACTGATGGATCAGAGGCTGTACGTTTTGTACTCAAGCATCTTTTCTTGCATTCTAAATTTTCTAGGAACATTAAGCCTCTCAAAGATAGAACTGCTGCAGGATAAAAGGTTTATCTTTTATGATATACCTCCTTTTTTCTGTAACTGTGCTTTAAACTTTCTATGAGTGCATTGCCATTGTTAGTGAGAAATTTGGTTCCACTGAAGTGGTTTAGATAGTAATTCAAATGCAGTTAAAACTTTTTTTCCTCCCTTTTATCTTAAAATGTATGGTATTGTCTTGCAATTTGACTTTTTTGTTGTATCAGTAAAGCTTCTGACTGTTTAAACACTCGAATTGCATTTTTCTTTTGTAGCTTGCACAATGAGTGACAGGCTTTTGAGCAACTTAGACAAACTTCTGCTTGAGTTTGGTATGTAATTTTGTCATATATTTTAAATTAATAATTATGAATGCCGTACAAATTATGATGTTTTCTACTTTAAACAGTAATACTAAGTTCAAATACTTTTACAGTATTAAGGTCTTGATATTTGCCTATGTAATATTCTCTTAATTGTGAGGCCATGGAAAAGGGTACTAACTGCTATTTAATAGTAAAATTGCTATTTAGGTATTTTGTTCAAATCTTTTCTAATCAGTGTTTGTGCAATTAATTCTGTACAACATACATTTGTTTTGCAGCTCAACTTGTATATATGTGTGTATATATACAAAAAAAAAGCATTTATTTTCTTCTTAGTTTTCCAGCTAGAACAAACTTCTTATGCTAAGGAACATGTGAATCAACAGATAAATTGTGAGTAGTGATAAATTATCATTTTACTAGACACTGAACACACTGCTTTTGTTTTATTAGTCCCGGTATACATATACTGTGTTTCAGGGGCGGAAGCAAGCCTAGTAATGAAAGCTGTCCCGTGTCCTGCTCTCACCCTACCTCATCTTTTGCCATCAATGCTTGCTCATTCTCCCTATCAGACTTTGCTTTTGCTTGCAACTTTTAGCTGATGCTGTTCAGCTGTCTCATGGACAGCCAGTTTCGTGCTGCACCATTTCCTGCTCTTACTCTAGCTCCTCGCAGTCACTGGCAGTTCTTTGATTCAGCTGTGCTTACTCAATACATCTGCCACTTGCCTTCCTTTCTTCCTTCATGGTTTTTGTTCTTTCCAGATTTGGACCTCTGCCTCACTGCTTCTTCTCTCTGTTCTCTTAAAATAGTGAAACTTCTCTCAGTTGCTACTACCTACTCAAGCCTGGTTCTTCTTTTTTGCCATCAAGCAGCTAGTAATTTTATTTGAAATTCAAAATAATAAACCCAATGAAAAAGTCTTACTTCACATCAGATTTTTTTCTCCCAGGACTTACAGACCGCTTAATACAATTGACTCATTTCTGGACTGATTTTTTTTTTTTTACCATGCAACTGTGTGGAATCACAAGTATTATCGTGGTAGAGAAGCTATTCTTTATGCGATCTGAGGATATCTGTGTTCATCACTGGTACTTCATAGGTAGATATTGAAGCTCATAACCTTCAGGTAAAAGAACAGAGAGAATTCTGGTCTAATTGGTGTTCCTCTTGATGGCAACATCTCTAATAATCTTGAATGATATGTGCAAGAAAGTACTTACTGTTTAAGAAGATTATCGATACTGATTTGAAGCATCTTAAACACTAAACCATCTGTAACACTAAATCTGGAACACCTAGAATTGTTTTTTAACTTTCCAGTCAAATAATTGAACCTTAGAGTTATTTTTTTTCTTAACATTTATGCAGTCTTATGGTAGATGAGCGTGCTGTGTAATAACATGGCACAGCTATTTCAATGTTCAAGATATCTAAATATGTATGAACAAGCACTCAGACTTCTAAAAGTTTGGGTTAAATCTTTCAAAAACCTACCCAGAAATAGTTCCACTGATTGAATTTCATCTTTGTGTGAGTATTACTTGGCAGAGAAACAGCAGTAGCATTCAGCCTCAGGCTTTTAGTGTGAGATTTGGCAGGCTTTTTGGCTAGAGTCCCTTTACGACCAGTGGAGGGAAATGGGCACTTTCAGGGTGTGATTTGTCTTATCCAGAAGAGAGTGTTTAAAGTAGGTTAGAGAAAGTAAGCTTTAAAAAACGTCCACTTCACTCTGCTGAGTGTACTGGTAGCTGGGGATGTCTAGTTTTGAAGTAGGTGCCTGCATTGTAAAGTTGGGTGAGATGGATCTCATCCACAAGGTCTTTGCAAAAGCAAAGGCCAAGTAGAACAACTCATACTGGTCACAAAAGTGCTCATCAATAGAAAATGCTAAATTAAGTGTTAAGTGCATTGCTTTACTTACGGAATAGATATTTTCTTAATACAGTTATATCTTGGTAAATCTCAAAATGTCATCTGCAGGCTACTTCCAAATACGCCTGTTTTGTTTTTTTTTAACAGAAATGAAGTTTACGTCAGTTGTCCAAAAGCTGCACTTTGTGCTAAGTAACAGCAAGTTACTGACTTCAGATATTGAAAATATTAAGATATTGAAGATCTTCAGGATATCTCAAAAATATAACTCTTGCTTTTCATTGACTGATGTTTCTCTGAGAAGTGCATTTGGGGTTGGTTTTTCTTTCAGTATAAATGCAGCTGGCATTGAAAGCGAATATATAGCAAGTAGTGCAGAACTAGACCCAAACTTCAGGATGACCTGAAGTTCTAGAGCAGTAGGTCAGGCAACTCAAGGTATATCTCTCGTAACTATGATGCCCTTCCTGGTTAAGTAGATGAAAAGGGCAGAATGTCTGTGATTGACCTCAGTTTAGGGCCACCAGCTTTGGCATACAATACTTCAGGGCAGCAGTGGTGGCAAAGGATGTTTTGGTACTAATAAATCTGAAACCTTGTATGAAAAAATAATAAACAGTGCAGAGAAAAAAAAATAAAAGTGCACCCAGTTGCACTTATTGCATTGCAGTGTGAGCATGTATGATAGCTCTCAGCTTTTACTTGTGAAAGAGAACACTGATCGTGTTGCACAATACGGAGTCTCTACTGACCACTCATTCAGAAAATGTTAACTGCCTGCTTTTAGAAAAGACAGAATTAAGAATCTGTGTTAAGAATCTCCACAAACACCCTAGTGCTTGAAGATTTGTTGTTACAATGCAATTTCTCATTAATTAACCTGTCTCCTATATTAATTTCTTATACACGACACATTCCCACCTTGAATAAATTCTCCTTTTCAGTTTCTCTGTTTATAATAATATAATAGTTTTCTTATACTCCTTTAGTGATGTTTTTATTTTCCCATTTTTGTGGTCAGCTTTTCCATTCAAAACATTTGTGCTTCTGGACTTCAAGAAAACCAGTGTTTCAAAGAGACCTTTATCTCAAAGCAACTGTTTTACACCAGTCAGTCTCCCCAGTTGCAAGCACTGCTGAGAGCAAAGTGGCTTACATTCTGGTTTCCCTGTATGCTACTTCTAGTATCTGCAAACATTGTGGATTCCAAAAAATTACAGACTGGGATGTGGAAACAGCACAAATACTTCTTCCAAAGTCAGTCTCATAATATTAAATGATAATTAAGGTACCACACAGCTGAAACTCCATAATTTTTTTTCTCACTTCGTTGTTGCTTTTCTTAATTGCAGACTGTCCACTCATCTGGTGATATTGAGATCAAGTATTCTGAAGAAATTTTTAATCATTCTGAAAGTAGACTTTTTATTTCACGGTTATATTAAAAATACATATGCTTAAATTTATTTATTTTTTTTTAATTTCAGTGTATACTGCAAAAATCACAGAAAAAAAGAATGAAATCACTAGGCTGCCAGGAAGATATAAACAACAGCAATGATGCAATTGCTGATTTACACCAGCAAAATGAGAGTAGTAAGGAGAGCTGTAAAGTGTAAGTGTAACAGCTTAAGGTTTGGGTTATGGATTGTATTGAGAAAGTCAGTGAGGAAGTAGTGTAAAAATATGTATGTGTGTGTTCTGACAGGAATGATGCTAAGGTAAACTTTAGTATTCTCTTATTTTTTTTCAAGCTGCGTATCACTAGGTACAAAAATTGCAGTATTGCCCATCCTCTGAAAAAGTAAATTATAGAAAACCAGACTAGTTAAGTTTTGGTTTAGATTTTTATAATCAGACTCAACAGTTTTCAGAGATCACACAGGTTACTGTCTTTGCAGCGTGCTAAAGTATTTAAGTAGTAAGCTAGGAAACCAGAATAGAATAGAATAGAATAGAATAGAATAATTAAGGTTGGAAAGGACTTTAAGATCATCTAGCTCCAACCCCCCTGCCATGGGCAGGGACACCTCACAATGAACCATGACAACGAACCGAAGTTCTGTCCAACCTGGCCTTGAACACTGCCAGGGATGGAGCATTCACAACCTCCCTGGGAAACCCATTCCAGTGCCTCACCACTGTAACAGGAAAGAATTTCCTTCTTATACCCAATCTAAACTTCCCTTCTTTAAATTTGAACCCATTACCCCTTGTCCTATCACTACAGTCTCTAATGAAGAGTCCATCCCCAGGATCCCTATCGGCCCCCTTCAGATATTGGAAGGCTGCTATGAGGTCTCCAAGCAGCCTTCTCTTCTCCAGGCTGAACAGCCCCAACTTTCTCAGCCTGTCTTCATACGGGAGGTGCTCCAGTCCCCTGATCATCCTCGTGGGCCTCCTCTGGACTTGATCCAACAGTTCCATGTCCTTTTTATGTTGAGGACGCCAGAACTGCACACAATACTCCAGGTGAGGTCTCCCGAGAGCAGAGTAAAGGGGCAGGATCACCTCCTTCGACCTGCTAGTCATGCTCCTTTTGATGCAGCCCAGGATACAGTTGGCTTTCTGGGCTGCAAGTGCACACTGCCGGCCCATGTTCATTTTCTCATCAACCAACACCCCCAAGTCCTTCTCCGCAGGGCTGCTCTGAATCTCTTCTCTGCACAACCTGTAGCTGTGCCTGGGATTGCTCTGTCCCAGGTGTAGGACCTTGCACTTGGCATGGTTAAACTCCATGAGGTTGGCATCAGCCCACCTCACAAGCGTGTCGAGGTCCCTCTGGATGGCATTCCTTCCCTCCAGGGTATCAACCGAACCACACAGCTTGGTGTCATTGGCAAACTTGCTGAGGGCGCACTCAATCCCACTGTCCATGTCAGTGACGAAGATGTTAAACAAGACCGGTCACAACACCGATCCCTGAGGGACGCCACTCGTTACTGGTCTTTAGCCGGACATTGAGCCATTGACCACAACTCTTTGTGTGTGGCCATCCAGCCAGTTCTTTATCCACCGAGTGGTCCATCCATCAAATTGATGTCTCTCCAATTTAGAGACAAGGATGTCATGTGGGACAGTGTCGAATGCTTTACACAAGTCCAGGTAGATGACATCAACTGCTCTACCCCTGTCCATCAGTTCCACCCCAGTTCTGTAGCCCCATCATAGAAGGCCACCAAATTGGTCAGGCAGGATTTCCCCTTAGTGAAGCCATGCTGGCTGTCACCAAGCACCTTGTTGTTTTTCCTGTGCCTTAGCATGCCTTCCAGGAGAATCTGCTCCAAGATTTTGCCAGGCACAGAGGTGAGACTGACTGGTCTGTAATTCCCTGGGTCATCCATTTTCCCCTTCTTGAAAATGGGGGTTATATTTCCCTTTTTCCAGTCATCGGGAACTTCACCTGACTGCCATGATTTCTCAAATATGATGGCCAGCGGCCATCATTGAATTCAGTGGGGTTTGGCTCAGGTCCTACAAAGGATAATTAATGAATTAGTGTAAAGAGACTGAAAATGAGACCTAACTAATGAATACATTTATTCACAGAAGGACAGTGATTGCAGAAGAGTAGAGACTTTGTCAGAAATTGTTGAAAATGTCATCTAACGACATACTGAAAACTGTGATAAACGAGCCCTCGCTGTAAAATCAGACATTTAGAGCACTTACGCAGTAGAATCATCTTAAGCTTCTAAAATTTATTCTAGTTGATATGCCTTATGTATTGGATGTGATTCTACTGTTGATTTTGTAAATTCAAATATTGTTTTGGAGCCATGATTACCTTCATAGTTGACTAATTGCCAGTAATGGTCAATAGAGTTCTCAAAGAACCAACTTTTTATTGGGATTACTAGATATCATCAGTATAGTGAAGCATGTTTGCAGACTTTGAGGAAAAGATGTGATTTTTATATTCAACTGGTCTGCAGGAAATATGATATTTGAGATAAGAGTATTGGGATACTGGTGTGTTTTCTAGAGAAATCGATATCGTCTGTGTAGCAAAGAACTGAAAGCACAAAATGACCAAACTGAAATAGATTTTAGGCAAGTAATGACATTTTTCTAATTGGTTTCTTGAATGATTCAAACTAGAACTCTTGGTCCCAGAACAATAAGAAGTGGTGAAATACTGCTGAGGGAATTCCAGTTTTACTGTTTATTTTCTATTTTCTAAATTTGGGTTCAACGGTGGTGAGAAAAGAAAAAGGAAGAAAAAAAAAGCCAGACAAGCTCAGAATGTTGCTAATTTGTAAAAGAAATCGTTGTCTTTTTCCACTAGATAAGCTACAGGATATTTTTATTGCTTTCAAATTAATGTGGATAAGCTAGGAAGGGCAAATAAATGTGATAGCTACCAAGAACCTCTGTGAAACAGTGATTCATTTAGCTAGCTAATAGATGAGCTACTGTAATCCTGTATACCTTGTGTTTACAAAACAGTATTCTTGTTTCACATGTTTTTAGCATGTCTTCAGAATTGATGTGAACACAAAATGTAATGCACAACGTGGTTTGTACTTTGATTAATAAAAGTTCTATGACTTTTTTTTTTTCCTTTGAAGAAAGCCATGGAGTTTTCTGAGTAAAATATCACTACAATGTTTGTGTGCCGGTACATTTTTATATAAGTATGTTGGTTTCTACTTTTTAAAAAATATGTGCCTTTTAAAATCCAGCTTTCTCCTGAATTTGCAGTAGATACGGTGAAATAACGTTTTGTAATAACATTTTTAATTAACAGTGGTGTCAAGCAATTTGTGCCAATAGTGCTAAATTTCCTGAATGGATGCTGCGATATCTTATTCAGCTTTTTTTGTTGACAAACTTTACTGTTGTTACAAATGTTGATTATATGTTGTGTTATCCCACCACTTGAACTTTGAAGTTATTTGACTTCAGTTCAACAAATCAATTGCCAGGGCTTTGTCCTTTTTTTTCATTTATGGAAATTGCATTAAGTTAGCCTCTGTTTTATTCCACCTTTCAAGTGATTGTCCAAATGCTCTCACCTGTCCAGTAATGAATTACTTGGTTTGTTCAGTTGCAGCCTTGTTCTCTGTTGCCATTTCTGACCTTCTCCTTGTCAAGGAAACTCTTTAAAAGTAACTTTATCTGCTGTCCCTTATTCACTTAGTCTCTTCAGTCGTGATGGATTTTTCCTTCTTCTACTTCTTCAGTGTTTAGCTTTGATAATATCTATGTATGTGTAACTAAAGTTGGGTTTTGTCTGTAGTTTTCCTAGGACAGATAGTGCCAGTCAGACAAACTTCATTGTAGGTGTGTGTGTTGCCTTAGAGTAGCTTGTACTCCATACAGAAGTTGAATTTATGGATCACTTTAAGCCCTGACTGGAGAGAGGATGTGTTATTTTTTTTTTTTCTATGAAGTCTCTCTTGGAGGGAGCATGTAATTTATTTTTTTTTTCTCATGAGAAATTGGATATCTGTCCTACCCAAGCCCAGACTGCTCTGATGATTGGGCCATCATCTGAATCTCAGTTCCCAGCATCTCGGAATTTGCCTGTTGACAAGTTGTCATTACAGAGGTTTTCCTCTCTGAACAAGCAGAGTGTTTGTCAGTAACACCTAAACGTATTTAGATCAATAGACTTCAGTCATTTTTCTGTTCTTTCCCTCATCATCTCACAACAGCTTTGCGTCTGTTAAGTCTTATTAAGGTATTACTTTATGTTTAGAAACTTCATGCACACAAATTAAGAGGTTTCTGAATTTGTTTCTTACCATCTTTAACTGAGCAACATCTTGGCCATTTGTTCAGTTACAGCTTTCTGTGAAAATGTCGTTTCTGATAGCTGTTACCTCAGATGGGAGTGTAGGAGACATCCAGGCTTGGGTGACTCATGCTTCTTATACCATCTTTTTTTCAGGAAGGATTCTTTCTTTTAAAAGACCCATTATATGCTTTCCCTAAAGGGCACATCTGAATTTCATTTGAATCAGGAATTTATCTGCCTGTTTTTTCTAGCATTCCCACATCCAAGGAAGAGGCATATTTGCTACCTGGATGTCAAGAATGTACTGTTTACTAATCCTAAATCCTTCATGTATTCCCTGAAGTTGCCATGCTTCCAGTGCAGTCTACAGCATCCTGCTGTAGGAAAAGCACTTCGGTGGGCTGCGTTATAGCTCTTATATTATAGAAGGCTACTGAAGCCAGAGGAAGAACAAAAAATGGATTTATTGTGTTTCAGGGCTGTAGGGGAGCCACATAAGAGGAGATCCAGGCTAAGCATTACAGAATGTGGACCCATCAGTTTGCTCTAGAAGAATCTAATTACGAGCTGGGTAAAAGCCACTCAGCACATTTTGTCTGGAGGCAGGTTTCTGGAATGGGTGCATTTAACAGTGTAGACATACTGTATAGCCAGGTGCCAACTGCATCAAATATGAAAATATATGTAGATGGTGACTTGGAGGTGGAAAAGAATGTTACCTGGCAGCAACTGAAGTTCAGTTCTCATCTGACATTAATTTATCATTAACTATCACCTGGAGTGTTTTCCTGTAGGGGCAGAATTTGAGTTCAGATCTAGTCAGTAAGAGGTGGTATGTGCACCTGTGACTCCAAAATGACACACCAGTGCTCCCAGTGTCTGAGCTATTGTACTGACAGCATCTCTTTCTGGCTGGTTTCTGAGTAGGACTAGCAAATGGAGAAAATTCTGAGTTTGTGACTGCTGTTTGCATTTAGGTATGAGATAGGTGCTGGTGGTATCGATGAGAACGAAGCTGTGTGCATCTCCAAGATCAACACATCTAAAGATTTACTGATGGTGCTGTTCTGAGTACCTAATGTGTGGATTTAGATGCCTAGCTGCTTATTATCATTAGGTTCCAGAAATTTGTGAAGCTCACTCTATTTGTTCCTTAAAAAGTACTTTATAATCTTTGTTCATTCTGTATGTATATATTCTTGAATTTTCAGCTTGAAAATCTGAAGAAAATAAATGTGTGAATGTAAAAACTGTCTAACTAAACCTATTTATGTTTGACTTTCAAAACATTAAGTAAATTGTTTATTCTAGTAAGCTAGATGAAGTAACTTGGTGTCTTCATTTCTGAATGGCTTTTTATTAGGAAGAACCACTTACATGCTTGCTTTCTTACTTTTTTTCACAGCTGGAAGCCCACCTATGCAATTCTTAGCCAGCATGAAGAATATTTGAAAAATGAACTTGAAGCTTTACAAGAAGCGACAGAAAATGAGAGGTATCTCTGATCACGTGAGATGAGGTTTCTATCCATAATACTTACTAACCAGTCCAAACTGATCAGTGAAGATAGTGCAGTCTGCATCAAACAGTTGTTGTAAACTTTTCAGAATAATTGAAATAACTAAGTAATTAAAGAAATTTTTGGTTTACATTATTATAAGGTCATATGATATATCGGAGTTACCAATGGAATAGGATAAAGTTATGGGTTCAAAGTATGGGTTCTTCAAATTCGATTGCTTCCCAAATGTGTATTATATTTTTTCAGAATGTTGTTCTGTTGCCCACAATCTCAAGAAAAGCCAAAGAAATAAGACAAGGAATGTTTCAGCTTTGCCAGAAATATGAAATGGAGCATATTTACAAGAGCATACATAAATTTTATCTATGAATGATTTGTTTTGGCCTTTATTATGACTTATCTTCATGTATACTGTGATTTCAGTAGTTTCAGATATTCAGGTTTGGGAAGACTTTTTTGAAAATACACAGGGTGTATGTTTTTTTCAGAAGCATCATTTAATTAAACCTAAGCCTTTAAATCATATATAGACTAAGTAAGCTAACAATTAGAAGCATCCAGATAATTTTATGATTTTCTCTGTGAGTATGAATTGCATGTAATTATTAGAATATACTTCACTTGTGTATTTGTATTTTGGTGTATATTCTTCAAAATAACTACAAAGCATGCAAATTCAGTAATAGGTTCTAAAAACTAGGTGAGTAGCTTGGGAAAGCCACCAGGTCTAAAACCATTTAAAGACCAGTAGTGGGTGAGAGTCTAGTCAGTATTAATTGTAAATTCAATCTTGTTCAGTAAGTGGCATTTCAGGTGTTTCATCTGCATTAATTACATTCTGCATTTGAATGAACTGATTATTTGTGCAGTGTAGCTGCCTACATTCAATGGATTAAAGAGCAATCCCTAAAGATTTTCCCTGCAGTATTCAAAATGTGTTGTGCCAAGTTAACCCACTGAAGTTCTATTTAGCACTCAGGTAAAATTCATCTTCATTGTACGGAGATTGCTCACCTTCACTGATATACTTCTGAAGGGGAAGAGGTTGGCTAGCCCTATGGTGAAAAAATCATGGCAGATCCACTTAGATATCTAAATACCAAGAAAGAGGTGTAACTCTAGGTCATTTAAAAAGTTGGCTTTGGTTCTTTTAGAAGTGTTATTTTTGTCAGTTGTCCAATACAGCAGAAATAGCGTGCCTGATAGCCTTTAATTAACTAATTTATCTGTCATCTTCCTGTTCAGAGCTCTGTATTTGGTAAAAAAGAAGGCTAAATTGGCTTTCTATGAGTATAGGAATAAGCCATTTTGGCTTTCACTAATTTGAGCTGACAAGCCAAAGAAGCATTACTTTTAAATTGCTTCTTTAGATTATTCATTTCAACTCCATCATGAAAGTGTTTTCCTGAGCTTAATTATAAGACATCATGACTATAAATCATAGAGTAAATTTAATTCACATAGTTTGCAGAAGTGGTCTGTCAAACATAGTTGCTCTGTACTGAAGTGGTCAATAATATATTCAAATCAGCAAGATGTGCAGTCTACAAATTCTGAATAATATTTAAATTAGGAAGAAAAGTAAGTACATTTAGAACTTTATGCACTGAATATGCTTTTTAGCCTGGCATTTGAGGTTCTCAGGACATACTGCTTTAGATGGGAAGATGTTTTAAAAAGATGAGCAGATCAGCTTGTATTTAATTAAGCGCTTTTTTTTCCCTCATTATTATTTGTTTCAAGAACACATAAGAATGCTCATATGGACTGGAAATTCATCCTGAAAATAAGTGATATGAGAAAGGAAAGAGGAATGAATCGCTGTCCACATAATGTTACGGGGTTTTGTGGGTGCTTCCCTTTTCCAATTGTCATTAGACTAAGACTATTTCTAATTAATTTAATGTGAACAAGGCTAAATTCTGAATAGACTTCATTTAACTCTGAGAACTGGAGGATGTGAATTAGCTAGGAAAAATATTAAAAATAGTGACAACTTCTCAAGACTGCTATGCTATGCTATACTGTACTGTACTCTACTGTACTGTACTATGTATGGCCATAAATACCAATATGTGGAAAATACTGTCAAGTCTGAGGATTGTTTTCAGAAGCTTGAAGTGTACCTGCTAGAACAAATCATTTTACTTACTTTTATTTTAAAATATTATTTGTAACATATTCTTAATTGTATATCAGCAGATTTATTTGTTCCTTAGTTATTCTTTATAGAATCTACTAAATTAAGTAGAAATGAATGTTTCCATCTTTCATACCTGGGAAATTTTGTACACTGTACACAAATATTCAGTAAATCAATAAACTCAGATTCCCAAGACCATCTGTATAGAAAACCAAACAGATCAAGGTAATTTTCTGCATGAAGTTTGGGGAGTGTCAGTTCCTTGGTTTCACAGTGTTGATCTACAGCTTCTTTCCCCTAAGGAAGTGTATTGAACTCAGTCAGTTTAACAGCAACTGGTGCCTGGAGTATAGTTTTATTTGAAAATTAAGATCTTACTATTTTTTCCTGTGACTTTTTTTTCCTTTATAAGAGTAGAAGCTTTTACAATTGAATGTGGACATTTTTTGCTACCTACTTCTATAATTTGTAGCTATGTACTCACATGATGTCAGTGAAATTATGTTAGTGTAACAGTAATTTAGAGGGCAGTCCTACAAGAAGCTGAGTATTCTGCCTTTTTGCCAGTTGTACATTGAAGTGTTTTCCTAACCTTAACCATGAGTTGTCTTATTGTTCTAGTGTGACTAATGTGTGTGTTTAAGGCTTCCCTGGTCACACACTCAGCATCTCCTTGGAGGCAGCTCTTAGTTCAGTGATGCTTCAGACTTCTCTAAATATGAGTGCTAGGCCAAATTCTCTTTTACTGTAAGTCTGATGTAGCTCCACCAGAACCAGTGGAATTGTGCCAATATACACAAACAGAACTTTACTTGCAGTGGGTTTCATGATAATTACAGAAGGAAAAAACATTTTCATCTGCTAGGCTGCCTTTGGATATGGTATGGTCTACATTCCTTTCAGAACAATGAGGTTTGACTGTTTTTTACATCATGAGTGTATACTTTGTTACATACAGTACAGTCTTCCTTGGAAAAAAGCTGGGAGAGGAAAAATAGAGCCAAATAGTGGTATATTAAATATAATACAACTTTTTTTCCAGAACAGGAGCAAGCCTAGTTGAGCTGATGCCATTACTATTTTTTTTCTTACAAATAATATCTTCATATAAAAAAATAATTAAATGACATGTATTTTTATAGAAAAATGTATGAGGATTACATAACCCAGTATAAAGAGATGTTAAAACAACAGCATGAAAAATATGCGGAAACTGCTCTTGCACAGAAATATTACCAAAAAAAGAAAGAACTTGAAGAAATCCAAAACAGAGTATTGAAACAGTCTGCGAAATATGAATTGAAAGAAGACACTTGCTTGGATATTCTAGGTACTACTATTATTAATTCTTTTACTGTAGAGCCTATTGGTAGTGCACTGCATATTAAAAGTGCTGTATGGAAATCCTCTGATTAATTTTCCACAGTTAATAAAAAGACTTTCCTTTTGTTATGCCATTTTTAGGAAAAAAAATATAAAAAACTGTAACAAACAGACTTTGAACAAGAGTTTAGAATATACATACTAATATTCCTTCCTCCAACCCTGAATGTAATGGGGAGAGGTTTGCCATTGAGCTTCTTGGGGTAAACAAGTACTAAAATTACTGTAGAACTCTCAACATTTTAAATTTATTTTTTATGGTTTTATTTTTTTAGGGTGTTTTTAGTGGCATTACTCTCTGTATCCTGCTATTTCTGTTATGTATATTAAGTTCTCCTGATCTATTCATTTATCTTGTATCTGTAAAGAAAATTAGGTCAGTATATTAATCACCTGAAATGAAATTTTATTTCTGCAGAACCTGTTCCTTTTAAATCCGTAAATGACTGGGCTTTACAGATGTATCCTTGATTTGTAGTGTATATACAGTTTACAGGGAAAAAAGTTTGTATTTACATTTCACAGTTTCATATTAGGAAGTAATTATATACTTATGTTTAGAGTGGCAGCATTAGCATTTCTCTGTGAGAAAATGGAAGGTGTAATAGTACGCTTCAGTGTAAGTTTATGAGATCATTTTGAGGGAAGAAAATAAGATTTCATTTAACAATATACCTGTCAAAATGCTTCATTAAGGAGGAGAAGTCTAATTAACATTAGATTTGTAGATTTTTCAGAGCTTTCTCCATCTCCAGCATTCATGCTTAAGGCATCAAGGGGTCAAGGATCTGATAGTATTGTTTGCTTAAAAAAGTATTGCAGCAATTTATATTCTGTAACATGGAAGTGCTTCTTTGAGGCGAAAGACACAGGAAATGTTAAAGCTTGCTGCAGTTGCTACACAAGAATCCATTGAGCTACAAAAAGAAGCTGAGGAATTAGAAAAGAAAATCAATTCTTTAAAAAAGGTAACTGTATTTTAATTTTATTTTAGATAAGCCCATGTTATACATGTAGTTATATATTGCACAGTTATATTTTCTGAAACATAAAGAAGTAGTGTATTTTTAAGCACACATACCAACATGATGATTCCAGTCTTAGTTATTATGTTTCTATAGGGTTTTCTTAACACATGTTTTCTTAAACAAGAGGGGTTCATGAAAGTAATGGCTCTTCAAGCTTGTTTTTTGTTGACCTCAGTTTACATCATAATTTTCGTCAAGGCACTGTGTCATGGTGACTTTCGTGCTAGCTCAAGAGCCAGGGAATACACTTCAAAATACAGCAGTGCCAATCCCTAGTGAGCCCCAGAACTCAAGCTTTCCCAGGTCCTACTGGTTTTTAATTTTTTTTAATATGAATATGTTCAACTAAATATGTTTTACAGTAAGGATCATGTAAGTTTCTTCCCCTTTTCCCTCAAATAAATGTGTGGGTAAAAACACCCCAAGGTAAAACTGACTGATTTTAGACAGAGATCACTACAGTTCCACTGACTAGGAAAAGCACTGATTCCAAGAGGGATGGTGTTCCAAAAAAAAAGACTTTGTCAGGACAGCATTTTGACCCACTCCTCTACTAGGAGGTGAAAGGTCTCTCCTAAGCCTGAGTAGCCCAGTAGGCCAATCTGGTGAAGAGTTTGGTAAGTTTTACAGTATTGTATATGGACGCTTTCACCCTTCTGGACTAGATGATAAAGGACTTTGTTTAGTGTTGTCTCAGCTGTGACTATTTCAGCCAGCCTTGTGGTGATAGAAGCAGATCATGCACAGATGTTATTTTCTATTTCTATTTTGTGATACTTTTTGACACTCATAGTTACAGACCAAAGTTCCTAATGTGGTATGTGCATACAATAAGAAGGGGTATGGTTAATTGGTTTATAACTAAGGAGACCATGTAAGGAGCTGCTTGTTCCGAATAGATACATAGAGTCTGTGCTCAAAAACTTCTGTGTTTGTTCCAGCTGTTCCAACAAAAAATACTGCCTCTCTTTAACCTCAATCTGCTTATTTCTTCAGACCATCTTGGCTGCAAAATCTCTACTTCTGTTTAGAAAACATTTGAAGCATGTAGCTGTAACTTTTCAAGATTATTTTTATTTTTATTTGTTCTTTATCTTTTAAGACACTTGTAAAGACTACAGAAGATCAAAAAAATTCCAAAATGTTTGAAGGAAAAAATCAGAAAAGTCTGGAGAAGCTTAAAGAAAGGTACATTTACAATTTTTTCTTTCTCTTGTTTTCATGCTTGTTTCTCAGCATTTACACAAAGACTGCCACACAACACAAATTGCTGCTAAATAATGACTGTCAAGCTTCTCTAACCCTGGTCATGTGATTTGATTATGTAATTTTACAAGTTTTCTGTATGTTGGGGTTAAGGTGGTGATGAATTTGAAGTCTTGGAAGCTAAACATATTTGGAAACATCCAAAAGTATTTTGTAGAAGCCTTTGCTCCTCAAAGCTACTGCTGATAGATCTATGTGGATAGTTTTACAGGTTTTGAATACAACTGCAGTGACTGTGCAGTCAGAGATAAAACACATTAATAAAAGCATATTTGGAGAAAAAAGGCTTGCACATATCATTTATCTTCAGCTCTGAAATATGTCTTAAGAAATGTAACTCTTAGTTCTTAAAAGAACTACAAGAAGTAAAATAACTTGTTTTTTTTGTTTAAAAAACCAAGCATGAGTGAAAGTTTCGTAGACAGGATTAATGGTGTAGTAAATTAGTCAGTGGTCATTTACAGCTGGGACTCTAATTTGAGGTCTGTTACAATGACTGAAAATCACCATCAGAACTATCTTGCGTTTATCTATTGTCCTTGTGAATGTTGAAACATCATGGTTAGAAATGATGCTTTTAGACCAAAATCCATTTTAAACTGAAAACATATCCAAAAGACTTTGTCCAAGTGATTTTGCATTTTGGTGTGTTTGAAAAAGAAACTTTTTAGGGCTGTAAAAAGAGATTTAGTGGTGTATAGCCAAAGAAATGTGTAATTTTAATAATTCCTAAGATCCTTTCCACAGAGGCATTTTAGGCCTGTAATATCTTTCTATAGACCTATGATTTTTTTTTTCTTTGTGTTTTTTTTGTTTATTTTTTTTTTAAACCTTTACGCTTGTTCTTATGCCTCACCTAAAAAATCCACTGCGCAGGCTGGAAGGGCTTACTCTCACTTGTCTGTATGGACAGGTGAGGGTCGAAACAGTAGGTGACAAGGTGCATGGGAAGCTGCAGACCCAACCTTGCATGCAGGCAGACCAGCGCATGGGTAGCTTGAGATCGCTCAAGAGATGACAGTCCTGGTTGGACACTTCCTGATTGCATAAGCACCCTTTTTTTCCCAACCAGATTTGCATATCCCACATGCCCTTGGTCATGGTGCTTGTAGTAAGCGTGGTTAAAGCCCTTCCCAAATCTTTGCTTGCGAAGCCAAGCCATCAATATTCTTATGTATGCTTTTTGTCATGGGCAAGACCTCAGAAATACAGGGAAGCAAGAAATCTGCTTAGTTTAAAGACTAGGTGAAAGAAGAGATGGGAATCGCTCCGAATTTTCAAAGAAACTCACTTATGTTTAGTCTTCTGAAAACAAAATACCAATTAAAGACCCATTATAAAAGGCAGAGATCCGTGTTCTGCCCATGGAGGCATAAGAAACAGTCAGGCACCTCATGCAAAGGAATTCATAGGGTGCATTGCTAGACCTAGCATTGTACATTTAATTCCATGTCATGGAGCCTTCATATGCTTATACCTTCCCCTGAAGTTGTGTCTTGATTGCATGCAAGTAGATCTTTCTGGTGCTCTTACTGAAGCAATAATTCCATGGCTTGAATCATGGATATAAGATGTTGTAAACATTTTACACTATTCTCACTCACATTGCCTTTTAACCTCCATGTATGCATTTATGTGATATAGCATATGGTATTAGAACATAACCTGATTATTAATTAATATGTTTTTTCCTAGAGTAAATTTTAAAGCTTATTTATGCCAAATATATCCACAATGTCAAGGCTTGTAGAAAATTACATTAAAATTGTCATTAAAATTACTATTTGCCATTAGTGTATTCTAAAAAAGCATTTTCACTAGAAAGCACAGAAGTGTCTGATTAAGTAGCTGTGTTAAAAATAGGTGTACTGTAAATCTGTGATTATAAACACTGAAAAAAAAACACAAACAGAAAATGATAAGATAATGCGTCATATGAATGAAAACATTTGCAGACTCAAGGCAATGTATAAAATTATAACAGCAGAATATGGGTACCAAAGGCAGTAGTCTCTTGTGGGCTGTTCTGCAGTAAACACAAGGTTATTTCTGAGCAAAGAGAGCTTTCTGAAGAAAAAAGAGATATCTTCATCTTTTGCCACAAAAGAAGGAAAAAAGAGTTGTACTGTGAATCTCCATGAACTGATGCAGACCAGTGTGAAGAGAAACCAGCAGTATCAAGGGAAAGAACAAAGCAGAGCAATGAAAGCACTGAGCAGAACAATGTACAAATGAATACCCATGAAATGCTTTAGAAGGCTGCAAGACAAGAAACCAACTTGCAAGTTAATTAATAACTGCTGGTATAGATGTTCTCCTTTGGACCTGAGGATGGCAGTGGTAACTGATCTTTTAAAAGGCTTGTAACGTTTTAGTTTGAATCATTGCTGTCCAGCTAGTCATTGATTGGGCTGACTACAAAACGCAGATTCCTCTTCTCATGCCAGTTGTTTCCTCTGATTAGTGGGCTTTCATAATTCACCAGTTAAGTATCATTATTAAAATCTCCAAATAGAGAGTTCTCATCAATCAACATGTAGGAGTCAACTTTTATGAAGCACGGGTCCTGACTTCTCTATTAGAGATTGTATTTATTACATAGAAAGGCTGACATAATGAAGTGTGCTTTGGCATATATTGTGCTTATTTTCTCTGCTTTTGTAAAATGTTTGAGAGACCTTTAATGCCATTATTCTGTAATTTTGTTAGGCTTTTTTCTTCCATGCTTCCCCCCCCTGTATGATTATGTGTTAATTCCACCTCTGAATACCTAAAATACCTTGTATTCCAAGTGAGAGATTTTTGCTAAAACTTGTAAGGATATTCCATGTCAGATTGTTGCACTTCTTTCAGGATCTTTGCATTGCAAGTGATTAGCTTTTGCTGATCAAAGAAAAAACTTTGTAATATAATCTTGGAAAAATACTTACAAAGATCTTTCTTGACCTCTACATGTAAACTTATGTGAAGAGTGAACCCTGTGCTGACCACAGCCTCATAGGCGATTATTAGTTACTAGTTATGGCAGCTAGTTATTAAAATAAGTCTTGCTTCCCAGAGGACTTGCTGCCATGTGCCTGATGAGAATACTGAACATGGCTTCAGTAGGGAGTCCTGGTAAATACCACAGGAACCACTGTGATTCTTCAGATGTATAATTAAATACACTTGATTCCTATAGTGAATATGAAGATGTAAATCTTTGGGCTTCGTTATGCTGTGAAGAAGAAACTGCTGTTAAGAAAATGGGATTTTATTTTGATTTAGGAATATATGTTTTTTTTTTGTTGCACTTTAGTAAAAAAAGATGTTATCTATTTTGCAGTAGGTTCCAAGATAAAGATTTCTTATCTACTCAGATATCTACTAACAATGAAGTAACAAAAGAAGACGAATTATCTGTCTTGTTACTGCAATTTGGACTATTTTGAGCTTCAGTATGCAGTTTGATTTTTCTTTCAGTGTCAGAGAAGTTGCATATGGGGTTTTCTTGATAGTGTTTTTGGGGAAGAAAGGGAGCAGGTATACTGGATATGCATAAAGTTTGACTGCAGGCTTTTTTGGAAGGTTTTGTTACTTAAAAATTACATGTCTTAAAAGCTTCTAAGTCCTGTTTGTAACTCTGCCATTGATATATTCTTCTGAATAGATGTGCATTGCAAAGGAAAGCTTTGTTTCTGGGAGACTTGCCTGCTAGAATCTGCAGAAGCACATGGAAACTGACTTTGGGCACTTTTATAAACCCTATTTGGCATCCTGAGCTGAGCAAAAAAATTAGTTTTATGGCAATCTTAACTCTGCAGCAGCAGACTTCTTCAATTCACTAGTGAATGAAGATTGTGTTAAAGTGGCCAAACAAGATGTTTTGAAAACAATAAAGTTGTTTTAGTGGGGTTCTGTGTTTAGCTCTGTTTTCATTTCTCTGTTTTTGTGCTCTCTGCATCTGAATTAAAGATACATCAGCCATGTATACATCTTAATTTCCTCTAGTACTCATTCTTGACGTAGGTAGTGTCTATGATTACTGTAACTGAAGAAACTACAGACTTAAAAAACCCGCTTTTATTATTTGTTTTGTTTTATTGATGTATTAGTGGCACATGGTTTATATAGTTTGTTAGGTCTCAGTCCAGTCTCAGGTGTATATATAACTTTACAGATGAAGATAGTCCTTTTCAGAGTTATTTGACTGAGATGTATTCATGGTTTTATGCGCTTACAGTTGTGCATGTATATTAGTTTAATATGTTTTTAGGTCCATATATCTTAACCAGTGTTTCTAGTTTTGGTATTTTTATAGTACTGTTGCTTATTTGGCTCCACACTACCTTATAAAGTGCATCATATGTTTTATCTTATTTATATTTATGGAAAATCTCAATAAGAACAAAAAGACATGACTCAATTCTTCATTTGTTCTAAATAGCATTGTTTAGTCAGCTGTAAACCAGATGTTGCAGCTAGAAGCATAGAGGCGAAAAGCAGGAATGCCAGAGAGAAAATAAAGTAGAACTCATTAGTTTTAGAAATGGCAAATGTTCCTGTACCAAATAGCCACTTTACCCCTCATCGTTCTGCTAACCTTTGTTTTTCTACACTGCAAAAGGCTATTTACCCCACACAGATAATTACCCCACAAGGGAAAACACTTGCTACATTTTTTTTTTTTTGTGTGCAATGTGAGTATTCCGGACAATCTCAGAGAGAGTAAAATTGGTTTAAAATGCAAAAATGTGATTTTAGAACTACAATAAAGAAGTACTTGATGAAAGCATAAAATCCCAAACTACTGATACTTTTCTTTGATAGTGACAAAATCTAAGTCAGCAGTGTTTTTACGATTGGTTTATTACTACTTTTCTTTTTCTTTCAGTGATATTCTCTATCTGATAGTATTTAAAGAAAACTTCATCTTTTTATCAGCTGTTGGAGCTGCAAGAAGTATAACCTCCCTGGCAGCATGCATCTCCCTTGAAAACTCCACTTATTTGAAACAGTTATATTTTATGATTTCTTTTGCAACTATTAACATTTTTATTTTTTTTTAATTAATTTAGGATATTTGAAGACGGGGAACATCCATCTTTGCAAAATGAGAAACATCAACTGTATAAACCATTACATGTCCCATGCATTCCTCGGAAACTAGTGCAGTCTGTACAGAGCATTAGATTCCCAGTGCAGCGAACACAAAGAGGTGCAGTGTGTTTAATGATTTTTCTATGAATGATTTGGTATTATTTTTGTATAAATGAATGGAAACCATGATAACATACTTGATGAATGGCTCCTACTGGGACAGCTGAAGCCAGACTTTCAATGGAAGCTGGGTATTTACCAGCCTTTTTGTTCTGAAAATCCTGTGTCTGAGTCCTCTCTTCCTGTGCAAAGAGTAAAATAACATTACAGGTATGCCTGATGCATAGTGTCAGAAAAATCTGAAACATGCCTTTAGCATTGTTTGCATAAATACAGTAAATATTAACCAAGACTTATTTGCAGTAAATTGATACTTTCGTATTGTTCTGGGTTCAGCAGTAGCAGGACACATATTTTGTGATAATTTTCTTTTGGCTCTCTATTAACAGGAAAATGTGTAAGCTTTGTTCCCAAATTCAGTTTAACAATCTCATGCTTTGGAAACTTAATCCTATTGACAATATTAAGTAATAGTTGTTAATTTAGGGAGAGAAGAAAAAGAAAAACCTATGGAACTTCCAGTGGCTACTAGCGGTTCCTCCAGTTTTGCAGAAAATTCATCACAGGTATGCTGCTTTCCCACTGGTAATAACAGATTATGTAATCTGTTATAGCGCTGTTATATCTTACATTAAATTTATTAACACTGCAACCACGATGATAATCTTGGCAATCTGCTATTACCTGGTTTTGTAATAAAAGTATTTCTTTTGTGTCTTTTCAGTCTGAAAATACGTATGTTCTTACAAAGTGCAACTGGTAGTCATAGTAAGCATTCTCATGTCAACCTTGAGGTGACCCCTCTATCCAATTAATTTTGTATGATAGTTTTTAAAGTTTAAATAGCCTTTGTAGATTCACTTTGTTGTATGTAGCAAATTTTTGGAATTCTAAAGGAGGAACATAATCTTCTATTAATGATTAATCATCAGCCATCTACTCTATGATGAAGATTTCATAAAGGATTAAATGTGCAGGATGCTATATGCAGGAATGCCTACAGTTAACAACTCAGTTCTGAGGTTTAAGCAGAAACAAAAGTCTGGCCCAAGACAAATGAAACCATGAGCAGCATTACTTTATACACTTGAGGACTCTACAACTACATTTTCCATCTCTCACCCATAAACAAATAGTTCCTATAGTACTTTTTTGAACAGGTGCAGTGTATTGCAGCTTACTATTTTAAATATACAAACACAGTAAAGCAATCTGCAAACAAGTTGGAGGAACAACTTGCATAGTTATGAAAACCACTAATAATATCCATTTAAGGGCAAGAACATTGATAGGATTGTTATAATACAAAGGAGTACGCAGGTAAGGTAAGGCCATAGAAGATAAAAGAAATAGTTTGCAACTGTGTTTGCTGTGCAGAAGCTTGGGGAAGTTTCTACATCAAAACCTTTCTTTTTAAGGCACATCTCACTGGATTGATTTAAAACCAAATTTTAATGAACAACAAAAATAATCAAGTAAAAAATTAACAGAACCAGTTGTGATTTTCTTAAGATTTTCAGGGTAACTGAAAGATGAAGTGAATAAATCATTAAATAGTTTAAAGTGGAGCCTGTGGTAGAAGAAGCAGCCATCTTAAGATAAAACAACATGAAGGACAATGGCTAGACTGAGTGGAACAAGACAGAAGAAATTTCAAGCAATTCTGATTTGTGACTGGCTGAGGGAATTGGACATGATGAGGATGATAGAAGGGCTGTTGCCAGGGTAATCCAGAGATGAGGATGGGAATCTGGGGACTAGAGTTGCACTTAGAGAATAGTGGGAAGCGGTAAGTCAAGGTTAAGGGAACTACAAGAAAGGGTGATGGCAGCAAGGAAAAGAAGATGGAGTTTGAGGAAAAATAAAAAGATTAGAAGGAGGAGGGTTGCAATGCTTCAGAAAAGGTGTGCTGTAAATTACAGGAGTTGAGTAGCAGACAGATTCTTCATAACCAGCCCTTTTGTCCTCCACCCTGTATTGAATTAAATTTGATACATTTTACAAATTAAAATAAACCAGAACTAGCAGCTCCCTGTGAAATAATGTGTTATCTTATGCTGAGGCGTAGATTCCTAGTGCCACTCTGTCCTCAAGGCACAAATGCATGCCTCACATAAGAGTTAGGGCTTCTGATCTGATGAAAATCTATGAGGCAGGAGTATTTCCTTGTTTTTTGCAGTTTTTTGATCCACACAGGAGACACAGTCACTGATGGGCACACTCACTTTGGCCTTCAGAGGTGGAGCCAGGCCTTGCTTCAGCCCTTTCTTTATTGTCATGCAGGAGGAAACTAACTGCAGTAGTACAAAACCTGGATAAAGTGTGTGAATTATGTAATGTTATTTGTGTGACAGAACAGTTAATTATGCACATCTAGTTATCAGTGCTGTGAATGAGACTTGATAAAAATCAGAGAAGTGGGTTTGGGTATCATGCTGTTAAAATGAAGGTAAAGCAAAGATAGGCAAAAAGTTTTTATATTGACTGACCTCGAAACTGTGGTTAAAAGAAGGGATTTCCATAGTTTAAAGAGAAATCAGAGTGATGTTGTTGAAGCAACAATTTCATATGCTGCCTCATTTGAATATTTTACTATGTTTTAGATGGTTACTGACACTGCAGGCACTAATAACCCACAAATTGCCCAAGTTCCAGCGATAGCGAGCTCACAAAACCAAACGCAATTCAGGTAACTTTTCTTCAATAAAGTAGTTTTCATTCTTGAGTTTATGGAAATAATTCATATTTAGTCAAACATTAATTTTTGTGTTTTAGACTGGCAATTCCCCCAAAGCGGATGACTTCCAATCAACAGTTTGAGAGTGAAAATGCAGTAATAGGTAAAGTATCATTTTTTTGATAGGTTGTGCTGTTACTGTATGCTGGATCACGTGATTATAAAAGAGAAAAATCTAGGGGCCAAATTTTCATTCTGGTATTAAGTGGGCCACCATTTCTGTTCCTCTTCCACCTTGCTTATTTAGTTCAAACTTGGAGTATAGCAGATACTCAGTGCCCTAAAAATAGAGACTTAACTGCTCAGTAATGTGGGATTCATTCTTCATTGACTATTCCTAATGAAAGGAACTTTCCAGCACCTCTTGTAAATCCACGCTCTAGTCTCAAATTACTTGTGTAAAATGAAATCCAGTCTGAAAATCTGTCCATAAGGCATGAGAAAATGCAAAGAAAAGGGATATAATAAACTCAGTAATGTAGGAATCTTAAAGCATCAGATTTGAGAAATATGTACAGAATGCTTACAGGAACAAAGCAGGGAACCAGGGTAGTTACAAATACACCTATAGTTTCTGAAATCACAAGGCACTGAGCTTCATTTTAAATATTTTTTTTTTTCTGATTATAATGCCAATTCAGATGCCTGTTAAAGATTAGTCTTTTTTTTTGTATTTTAGTAATAGGGTCTTAATTGTATGTCCTGAAACACAGGATCTTAACCCACAGTGCCTGAAATGTTGCACAGTCTCAAGCTTAGAGCAGAAAGTCTGATAACATTCTTTTCTTATCCTGGTTTTGCCCAGTTCTTTAGAATACACTTCATCAGTGTCATGTGGATGTGCTTTTTATATTGTTTTCACCTAGTTTCCATTGTCTGATTTTAACGCTCACAAAGGGCAATAGCTGGATTAGACAAACATAGTACTCTAAGGGAACAACAGCTAGGTTTGAAGAACATATCAAACCATATGAAGCAGCTAAGCATGCTTTAATGATAGCGTGTAAGTTGCAGAACAAGAGGTAACTGTTAAGAGCATAGCTGTAAGGTGGGTTATTATGAAAACTACAGTCATAACACTTCTTTACAAGTAGCAATGCCAAGTTAGAGAACCTTTCTCAAGGATTCTTTCCTAAAACATAATTTTTATTTATCCATTTAAAATGCTGTTATTACAAGCAGTGCTGATTTTTGTATAGCGAGCCAAGAGGCCAAATGTAATGAAGAAGCAGAAGATGAACCAAAGGATTATTCTTTTAGACCTCAAGTAAGCAAAGCATTTCTTATGTCATAAGTAATTATTTTATGTAGAACAGTCAAAGTATCTTGACATATTTGAACCTATTGGCAAGAGGTAAGTCTCAGAAATTGGCAAGGTGACTTATTATAAAGCACCCAGCAGGTGAGAAGCCAATTAGTGCCTTCTGATTGCTAATATAGGAATCATTGCTCTTGATCATGTAGGTGTTCTGTGGAGTTTTATGCTACCTCAACAACAGACTATTTAGGATGACTATCCTATGTACATCGTAATTTTTGTATAAATTGGTGAACATATTTTTTTTCTCAGTGTGAGATGATGAAAGATTTAAAAAAAAAATTTTTTTGCATTTGAAACTCATTTCTCTCATGAAACTATACTAAAAAGGCTCTGTGCTGGCTACAGAACCTGTATGGCTCCATTGGCACTGCTTTTACAAGCTGTGCCTGAATGTGAGATCAAGCTCACCATACCATATTAATTAAAGCCTGTTGTCTGTACAGCTTGCGCATGTAGGTGATATCAAGATGTGGTTTAACACGTGCCAGCAGTTAAGCACCACACAGCCACTTGCTCACTCCCCCCACAGTGGGACGGGGAAGAGAATCAGAAGTGTAAAAGTGCAAAAAGTTTTCTGTTGAGATAGAGTCTAATAAGTATAGCAAAAGCTGTGCATGCTAGCAAAACAAAATAAGGAATTCATTCACTACCTCTCATCTACAGGAGGCTATTTAGCCATTTTCAGGAATGTAGGACTTCATCAGATGTAATGGGAAAAGAGATGCTATAACTCCAAGCATCCCCCATTTCCTCCTTCTTCCCTGTAGCTTTTATTGCTGAACACAACATCATATGGTGTGCAATACGCCTTTGGTCAGTTGGGCTCAGCTGTCCCAGTTGTGTCCCCTCCCAATTTCTTTAGCACCCTCAGCCTAATCACTGGTGGAGCAGCATGAGAAGCAGAAAAGGCCTTGACATTGTGTGAGCACTGTTCAGCAATAACTAAAACATCAGCTGCAGGCAGCTGAATGAAGAAGAGTGTCTTTAAAACAATATTGAGTCTGAGGGAAATTGCTCCACAGAATCTAAGTGCATATTTTCGTTTAACGTTTTCTGAAGAAGAGGAAATACCTCAGTCAACTGAAATATGTTTTGATGGTGGTGAGCCTTTGTTTCACTAGGGAGTCTTAAGAGAGTTCCAGTATGACTTTTACACAATATGCTAAGACATACTTTAAAGTTAAATAGTTCTTTTCTTCAAAATTAGTGTTTTTAGTCAGTTCACAAGTTTATTTTTTTGAATGAAAATTTTCATATATAGTTTCATTCACAAGCAGTCAATTTTAAATTAGATAAATTCAGGTTACAGTTTAAAGTATGATGAATATGTAACTGTTAGCATTTTATTAACATCCTTTTATTTTTCCTGAGAATAAAAATAACTAACCCTAAAATACGTAATGGATATATTTATAGGTAAATGAACTAATGATATTTTGGGAAATTTCATATGCTGTAAACATTATTGTATATTTCTTTTTAATAGGGCATAAACACAAATTTGAAGTCAAATGAAGACAATCTTGGCACAGCAGAAGAAAGTTCACAACATTTTTTAAGAGCACCTGAAACACCTGAGTTTGTCGGAACACCTGACTCAAAGGGGAAGAAAACCCAGTTCTCTAAGCTACCTTCATTTGACTTGTATGAGTTCAGCTTTTATTTTGATTTTGAGCAAAGTGATATTTATTGTATAAGCATGTCTGCCTTTGAAAGATTCTCTAGAAAGACTTTTCTAGAAAGCTCTTCTGAAAACACTCCTTTTTTTTTTTTCTTTCCCTGAGTTATGCTAGGTAATTTATTACTTTTTCTACTGACTACCATTTCCACTTGAAGCTGTTTTGAAAGAGTGAGACTCTGCTTAGAAATACAGAGACACAAGTTTTTTTGTAGCTCCTTTGTTAAAATTGTCTTTTCCTGCAGTAGTATTTGTTACACCAATTTCTATCTTTAAACGGGGTTTTTTGTTAAAAGGGTAGGGAATTGGTGAGACCACCACCTCACTTTGCTTTAAAGAGTTTCATTAACCATTTTGTGTTGCAAAAGCAATTATCAATGGAAGCTATAGGAATCTAAAAACGTGACAAAACAGAAAAAGAAAAAATAAACTAAAAAAGCCATCTATGCTACTTTTAAAAAGTATTACTGTAGTTTCTTCCTTTCTCTCTTCACAGCATTCACAATTTAGGTTCTGAAGAAGGAACATCTAAATCTCCTGCCTTCTTTTCTCTCATGAACTTTACTCAGAAGTCACCTGGTTTTAATTTGTTTGATTCTTCTATGTTTGGGGCAGAAAATTCATCTGATGAGGTAAAAATGAGTACTTGAGAATATTAAATTTTCACAAAGCAAAATCTGCTAAGTAAACAGCATTGACAGTGAATGAGGTTTTTCATACTGGTTATCTTTATAGCAAATTTTTTTTACTAGCTTGCTTAATTTTTACATTTGATATAATTTGAAAATGCTTATCTACTTTCCTGGGGATCCCCCTGTGATGACTTCTGATCAAATGTAAATCTTTCCCATATGGGCAAGATTTGATCTTATGCAAATATACTTGTGACTAGATTCACAAAATGCTTCTGGTTCAGTGTTGCAACGCAAAACTTTAGGTACCCTAGCAGAAATCACAACAAACATGCCTATCCTGTGTGGTTTTGTCTTGCTGAAATGTGGAATCAGGCATTTACAATTTTATTCCCTCCTCTCCCCCTATTTTTCACAAAATGTAGGATACTGAGAAAAAGAAGAAAGGACAATTTATTAGGGGTACTGAAGAGCAAATATGGATTAGCTATACTTAAATGGAGGAGATAAGTAGACAGTGAGCTGGAACAGGCAGTGGAATCCAGGTCTTTTTCTTTGCAGGTTCCCTAACTACAGTGCTCTAGAGTAATTTTTACCATCCTGAGCTAAAAGATTATTGGGTATTCAGGATAGGTATGTGCCAGTGCATAGTATGGTTGTTAAGTAGCACTGCTGGCAGTGTAGATTCAAGCCTCATTATGCAAATAAAGCATTTGAACCCAAGTGTCTCCTATTTCAGTGGGTGTGCTCAGTCTTGAGGTTACTAGAGAAAAGCTAGAGGAAGGAAGAATGAAAGTACTGTTTTGTATTTGGCAAGATACGTGTTGTTGATGTCGTCTATCATGAGCTCTATTTAGGAGAGAAAACACTGATGAGCAGCTTGTGAATTGTTTAAGAATGAGGTTAGGTATTAAGTCAGCTCGTGATGTAAGAATCCATGTTTCTGCTCAGTGGCAGAAACCAAGAATTTACCAACCTGTAGGAGTTATGTGGGATTCTTTGAAGTTAGGTGGGAGTTTTGAAGGAATTAAGTATCTATTATAAATCTAGTTTAAGAACTCAAGAGGGATGAGTGGTTATTTTGCTACTCTTTCTGGCAATATCGGGTTCTACTCACTAGGCATTAATTAGGTTGTTGCTTAGAAGGTTTCTAAAATGTTACATTATTAAATAATTTTGAATCTTTTTGGTTTAAAAACAGCAGTAAGCCAGATCAGGTATTGGTCTGTTCTCAATCTGATGATTTCCAGAAGAATGGAGGGAGTGTGTCTGCAGATGTAAGCAAACATCATGAAAATTATCTCTTCAGAATTTAGGGTTGGATATATACCTTTAAATGCAGATTTTGTGAAGGCTGCTAGCATTCACTGGGACTGTGTCTTTCTCATGGAAGTCAAATTAACTTGCTATATATATATTAGAGCTTATCTTTTTTCTTTCATACTTGTTAAATACAATGGCTGTTTATATTTCAGACAGAAGAAGGTTATTCTGTGGGAAACTTGAACCCTCTGTCCCCACAAAAAGATATTGGTAAGTCTGAAACTCAGATGTGAAGCTGTCTTCTGCTTATGTGACTGACAAGCTTGTGATCCTGCTTAATAGGGCACCTTTGGCTGTCTAACAGGCTGTTCAGTTGTGATACTATATTTCAGTGGTTTACTGGGTTCATTTGTATTTTGACTAGCTTAAATCTTTCCCTGACTCTTGGGTTTCAAATGTATGAGATGTCATGAACAAAAGAGGTACGAGAAAGAAAGAAATAGGGATAGTGTTAGGTGTGTTTGAAGCAAACTGAGAACTCCTGCAATGGAGAAGATATATTTAAATGTCAAAGCTTTTTCTCTGATTAGAAGAACTCTTCTACTGTACTTGGTAAATACAATTTTTTAACTTAAGGCTAACAGCTTAGTGTTGGAAGGAGTTCATATGTTGGATTTTTTTTCCTCCCTCAAATACAGTAATTTCCATTCAAGTAGAGAAATTTTGATAATAAACAGGCTTGGATCAATTTCAACTGTTGGAGGTACACAGTGTAAAAATAGCAGAAGTTAAGAGAGAGGAGAATCATACTTAATGAACAGTACCTTCCACTCATACTAAAGGAGCCCCACACATTTACACATTCTGGGTGAAATCCTGGCTCTACTGAAATGAAAAGCCAATTTTTTTTTGTGTGATCACTGGGATCAAACCTTACTCTTGATGAAACTTCTTTTCTGAAGGGAATTGTAATCTACTATCTTTGACATACTGCAAGTTCAAAGCTACTTTTTTTTTTTTGAAGTGGGCGGATATAAGGTTTTATGCATATATAACCCTTGTAGAGAAAAGGGTATCTTGTGTTGCTAAATGTAGAAGTTAGGTGGTTTTGAGTCAGTAGCTTTGTTTCTCCAAGTATTTCAGAGGTTGATGGCATTGCTCTCTAGAGAATAAAGAATCTACAAAAGTGTATTTGTTTACAAAGACCTTTCTTGCTTAGTATTCAAAATATTTCACCCACTTTTTCATCTAGGAGTGTTTTGTTGTTCTAAATCATTCAAGTAATTCACAGATAATTCTGATAATGCTCTCCAGGAAGTATCATTTCTAGTGCAGAAATAAACATACAACTGCAAGCTGATACTCAGTGAGATGCTTAGAGTACAATATTGTTAAAGGAACATACTATGCTGAATGCAGGATTCTTTCAGTAAGATTTAATCTGCTAATAAATATAACATGTATTCCTATAGGAAGCTTGTTTGGGAAATCAGAAAGTGAGGAGGCATTTGCCTTCCCCTTCCCTTCAGAATCAACTTCTCATGCATTTGGAGATGGAAAAGATGACTTCAGTTTTCCATTTGCATTTGGACAGGATCAGAGATCATCACAGTCTCCTCCTATGAAAGGTTTTCATTCTTCCTTACAAAATACAAAGCCATTTACATTCTTCTGAATACCTTTGACTTCCTTTTAAATTCTTTTCCTACTTAGCCTTGACAAATGTTTTCAGTTTCTTAAGTACAAAGCATTTAATCTTCCCCTTTCATTTCATGCAAGACTACATTATTCCAATTGCTGCAAAAGCATGTGTATATTCATTAAGCGCACATGCTTTGAGATGCAGCCTTTATTTTTCTTATTTCCTAAATACGTTGTTTTCATAAAACATTATGATACACTTCTGTTAAATTGGCACTTACAGGTAGCAGAAATATCATTTTACAGTGGTGTGTTAATTCAATATCGGAGAGCGCATCTAAACTTCTAGATGAGTACATTCAGCCTCTGATATAAAGTAACTTGTGTTAGAGTAACTGTTTATTGTGGTAAAATCTGAATTTGAGTTAAAGACAATGTTCTCAAATTAGCTGTTACACACAAAGTATTTCTAAAATTTTTGAAATAAACATTTCTGTTAATTTTGTGAAAATGTTGGTGGTATTTCTTGTTATCTGAACTGAAATAATATTGCAGTTATAACACCATTTCAACTCCTTCTGACTTGGAACACTGAAAGCAAGTTCCTTCCCCTCTATCTAGTATCTTTCAAAACAAAACAAAAGGTAGGTTTTACCAAGCTCCTAGATGCCATAGGACTATTTTTATGCAGCCCAACTGTCTGCTGAGACATGTGAAAGTTGGATTTTATTTTTTTTTTTACTGGAAAGGGATTCTGTGAGTTTCCATGAAGTGCTGCTGAGATCTAGCTAATAATAAGTGGGATGCATAGATCTGGTGGACTTCATGCTCTCCAAATGCGGGTTTCCATGTTAATCTATTTTAAACAGCTTTTCTAATCTACTGCACACCTCACAATCTGAAAGAACATTAGCTAGAGGCAAGTTTGAGAGCCTGTCTACATTATTTGTGGTACACCACTGGCAAATACTCTGGCAGCATTTAGAAAGCTGAAAAGGGTAAGTTTGCTCAGTTACTCTGTAACTGAAGCTTCCTTTCCTTCTCCTGATGAATTTTGTCATCCATGTCTCTGACATTACAGTCCAATAGTCAAGGCTTCTGGCTGAAGTGAGAGAAACCATAGAATCACAGAGTGGCTTGTTTGGGAGGGACCTTAAAGATCCTCTAATTCCAACCCTCTGCCATCGGGGCCTGTCCAACTTGGCCTTGAACCCTTTCAGGGATGGGGCATCCACAACTTCTCTGGGCAACTTGTGCCAGTGCCTCAGCATGGGGTCCTCTCTCTGCAGGATCACAAATCCTGCTGGGAGCTTGCCCCATGGGCTTCCCATGGGGTCACAGCCTCCTTTGGGCATCCTCCTGCCCACGCATCCTGTGTGGGGTCCTCTCCAGGCTGTAGGTGGTTATCTGTGGTCCTCCATGTGCTGCAGGGAGATGTCCTATCTCACCATGATCTCCATGGGCTGCAGGAGAATCTCTGCTCTGGTGCCTGGAGCACCTCTTGCCCCTCCTTCTGCACTGACCTGGGTGTCTGCAGGGGTCTTTTTCCCACATATTCTTACTTAGCTCTCCAGGCTGTTGTTGCTCCTGTGCAGTAACATTTCCCCCTTCTTAACTTATGCCAGAGGCGCTACTGCTGTCACTGATGGGCTCAGCCTTGGCCAACGGTGGGTGTGTCTTGGAGCTGGTTGACATTGACTCCAGATGAAGCGGAAGCTTCTGACAGCATTGCACAGAAGCCACTCCTATAAACCTTTTCCTTCCACCCAAACCTTGCCATGCAAACCTAATACCCCTGCCCAGTCTGGTCCCTATTAAAAAAAAAAAAACCAAAACCAAAAAAACAAACCAAGAAAAAGTAACGAACAATTACTTAATTTTTAATTTCAAGCCTGTGAACATAATTAAAGCAAAATGTTGGAAGTTAAGGGGCATCACTGCATGTATGCAGCTAAATGCAAGCTTTGGGAGCAGGGGTAGAAGAATCATTGCATCATAAGAAAACAGTCTTACACTATAGCATCAATATGCTTAAGCATTTCAAGGAAATAAGCTTTAACTGCTACATATTGTAACAGATTGGAATGTGTAGACTTACAGTATTAGATTGTAGTAATCTCCTCAGTGCAAGACTGATTGCATGGGCAGCAAGAGTTGGCTAATCCTTTTTAGCCAATGGCATAAAACAAGGATTAGTTTTTCATTTACTGCAACTGAGTGGGTCATTAGGATTCAAAGACACTAATGAGCCTGAACAGGCAATTGGATTCTGGTTTCAAAGTTACAGGCTAGTTTGAAAGGAGATGATGGTGTTTTTAATGATGTAAAACATGACCTTTTTCCTGAAAAAAAAGAAGAAGGACGTAACCATGGAACACAAACCTGGAAGGTTGACTTTTTCTCTTGGAACTTGAGTTGTTGCCAGATTTGTTGCCTTAGAGGCTGAATGGCTCATTTAGAAATCTCTCTGTTGCCTTGCTTTTATGTTCTGCTCTTGATGTCTCCAGAGTTGACACAAGTCACATGCAATCAAGTCTATGTTTCTGGTGGACAGGCACTGTCCTAATATTCTCTGACTCACACCCAGGTTGTTTGCAGCTCAGCAGTTCTCCTTCCAGACACATCACTTTGTGTTCTGATGCTAACATCTTGCTGAGAAATTGCCTCTTGGCACGTTGTTTCTTGAATCTTGTACCTTGCTTGATTTAATGTGAAGATGATGCTCTTTTTAGCACTTGCAACACATTACCTTTGGAAAGGTAAAATTCCACCATCACTTGCTACATCCCAGGTTTTCTTCTTTTTAGTAATCCCTTGAATTCAGCAGTAATAGGTAACTTGTGTTTGGTTTCATTCAAATCAAAAGATGCTGCCAAAAGAGTATAAAAGAAAATATCAAAAAATGGACATTTCCATGTTAATAGGATGTTTAAACATATGCAAAAAGCAAATACTGTGATTGTTATCATTCCCCAGGAGAAAAATGTCAAATGTTAATATGATCTTAATTTTCTTTATTGTACGCCAATCTAGAAAGCAACCACAAAATTGTTTCCCACACCGCAGGACTTACTTCATAATACGTTGGGACTTAGCTTGGGTAAAATCAGGGAAAGAAGTACAGGGCTAAGTGAAAAAAAAAAAAGGACATTCTTGCTAGTGGGGAACCACTTGTTATGGCTGGTGGGAAGCTTGGTAGCTGACAGTCCTTACTGAAACTCAGTTTGGAGCTTGCAGCTCTTAATCTGCTCCTTTCTGCTGGAGCAGGACTGCCTTGAGCTAAGTGTGGTCTCTTGCTGCTTTTTGCATTTTCTTGAAGCACATGTTTGGCTGGTTTTACTATTTCCACAAAATGCATGATGCTGTGATCAGTGATGTTGCTCACTGCCACAGCTGCAAAGGGCTCATGTCCAGAAGCTATGGGTACCACAAGTGGTTAAAAATGTTTCTTAACAATTATCCGCAAAACCCTTTGTAGCAATGTTTCCATTGCTTTTCAGGGAGTTAACAAGCTTTTGAAGCACTCTAGCTGTTACGCAAGCAGGGCTGGTATGCACCAGTTTCAATTCATACCTGGGTTGACAAATGTCATCAGATACAATACCTACTTCAAGGTGATTTTTTTGCCTTGGGAATCTTGCCCCAACACTTGACCAGTCGTGATTCTCACTGCTACATATATTGAAGGAGTTATTATATGTAGCTACCTTTCTCTTTTCTCCCTCGTAGTTGGAGGAGGCTCTCAGAAATATGCCAGTTACTACCAGTGCAATCTTAGGTTTGAGGTGTTAAACTAAGGTCCTCACCACCTGTGCTCATTGAGACCCATTCCTTCTACTGCTGTTGTTTGGTTGTATAAGTTTGATGCAGAACATGGCTGCTTAGACCTTCTTTTCCCCATCTTGAACTAATACTTGTGACTGTCTCCTCATCAGAGGCCAAAGAGTAGCAGAGTTATGATAAAAGAGGTAAATCACAGATTATGGGGAAATCAACACTGAACTTCAGAGGTGCTTTTAAACACATGCTGCCCATCCATCCAGAGCTCTTGAAAGAAGCTGGTTCTTTCAAGTAGGCCATGACTTCATGTAAACTTCCACTTTACCTTGGATTGTGCTCTTACCAGGTTTGAAGAAAACTGACAGGTTTTTTGCTAACACAGGAGAAGAATTCTGATCACAGAATAGGTTCAGTAACTGTTGAATGGATTTTTCTGCTTTAGGCTAAATTCACAGACCTGAGGGCTATGAGGGTGGCTGTACACTCTGGGGTTTGAAGGGGTTGATGTTGCTGCTTAAGCTTGTAGTCCATGTTGGCTGATTAAAAATTAATACAATATTGTAGTGACTAAAATTATAACCTCCTGAGTGTTTGGTGCCACATATAATAAGAAGGTAGTGTTATTATCACTTGTAGACAGAATTGTATTGAAATCACCAATTGTAGTGACAATTATTTGAAGAATTGTTGAAAAAAGTCAGTAATTTGATGGATAGAAGAGATTAATTGTCCAGATTACTCTTTCAAATAGTTCTGAGATATACTTGGCACTTATCAATAGAACACTTGTATTATTTATGTTGTGTTGAAACCGTACATCAGCCTTAGATTATTCCATTGCCACACTGTCACTGTCAACATCTCACAATTCCTGGTAAGGTAATGAGGAACTGGGGTCAGATTGTTGAAGGGCATTAGATTATTGTAGGCTTCCCACAGGTCTACAAGCAGCATCACAAGCAAGAATATTTTCTCTTCTGAAAATGATGCTACTGCCTGAGCTGCTGGACAATCTATGGCTACGTAAAAGGATGTATCTCTCAGAGGCTGTCAATAGTAATATTTCCAATGGCTACACATTCACATAAACAAATTAAAAATATTAATGGTAGGCAAGAAATTTTTATGCTAGCATCAAGGGACTGTAGGAATCATAGGATCATAGTATACCAGGTTGGATGGGACTTCAAGAATCATCTGGTCCAACCTTTCTGGGCGAAGCATGTCCTAGACTAGATGTCACAGCACTCTGTCCAGCTGAATATTAAAATGTACAGTGTTGGGGGAATCCACCACTTCCCTGGGGAGGTGATTCCAATGGCTGATTATTCTGATCATGAAAAATACTTTTGTGTCCACCCAGAATCTCCCTGGGAGTAACTTGTGCCCATTACCCTTTATCTTTTCCATGGGACTCTTCGTAAAAAGGGAGTCTGCACCTTCTTTGTAGCCACTCTTGAAATACTGAAACATGGTGAAAAGGTCTCCCCTGAGCCTTCTTTTATCTAAGCTGAACAAAACCAGTTCTCTTAGCCTTTCCTCACACAGCTTCGCAGTTCTCTGATCATCCTCATGGATCTTCTTTGGACCCTCTCCAGTCTGTCCACATCTTTTTCGTATAGGGGGGACCAAAACTGAACGCTGCTCCAGGTATGGCCTGACAAGAGTTTCTTTTCTGAAGAATCAGAAATATTGCGTCAGAGTGGTGAGATACAGATCAATG